CGCCAATATCCCCTTCAGCGTTGTTTCCTCCTCTGGCTGGGAACACAACAATGGCGAGTGTTGACGTAATATTTATCTTTATTTATTCATGTAAATACGTAACATTTTTATTATATGTTTATTTAATTAATTCAGTGGGTATTTTTAGTGTATTTACAGGTACTAAATTGTTATTATTATTATTATTATTATTATTATTATTATTATTATTATTATTATTATTATTATTATTATTATTATTATTATTATTATTTTTATTATTATGTTGCCAAAAAAAATCGATTGTAATAATGTTAAAAGCAAGACACGAATTAGATTAACACACACACACACCAGGATTAAGGTCTGGGATATGGATTAACTCACAACAGCCTCGGGTCTGGATAATAACAAGAGTTGACTCCACATTCTCTAACACTCGTAAGTTTACTCAAGTTAAGGCAGAGTCTAAGTCATTTTTAGGTACTTGAGTACGATGACTTAACCCCCGGAAATACAATCTCATCGTTATTAAAGAGTTAAGTCATCGTACTCTAGGTGGTAAAGTCATTGTACTCAAGGGGTTAAGTCATTGTACTCAGGGGGTTAAGTCATCGTACTCTAGGTGGTTAAGTCATCGTACTCACGGGGTTAAGTCATCGTACTCAAGGGGTTAAGTCATCGTACTCAAGGTGATAAAGTCATCGTACTCAAGGGGGGGGGGGTTTAAAAGTCATATTTGCCCACCACCTCGACTCCCACCACACCTGTTAAATATACCTGTCCCACAGCACTAATTAAGGCAAGACATATAAACTAAACTAACCTAACCTAACCTAACCTAACCTAACCTAACCTAACCTAACCTAACCTTATGCAGTGTGGTCTCAGGGTGAATGTTTTTTGTTTTGTGTTTACGATAAATTGTGTAGCGGTCAAGGTCAAGGTGCATAGTGGGACCCCAGTTGTAGACTCGGAGTTGGATTAAGTTAGGTTAGATTAGGTGAAGTTAAGTGAGATTTAGGTTAGGTTAGGGAAGGTTAAGTTAGATTTAAGTTAAAGGTTAAATTTAGGTTAGGTTAGGTGTAGAGGTGGCTGTGTGGGAATCTTTTTCGTCTCGGGAACTGGCTGGGAGAGTTGGTAGTGGCCCCTGTTCGAACCCAACCTGGGATAAAGAGTGGCCAGTTTATCCCAAGTTGTAGAATCTATCCTTGGGTTATAAATCCACATGAATAGATAGTTAAGATAGAAAATAAGAGAGTTGACAGTGAAGCGAGGAAGATCAGCTGTTCATGACGAGTGAGAGTTGTGTCAGTGTAGGAGTAACACCGACAGACACTGACTCACCCGACCACGTGTGCAATGTTCCTTCCACAACTAAATCATTAAATCATCGGCTTTACCTATGCCCAAGGGCTAGTTATGGGTTAAATATTGACGCCAAATCAACATGGTGTCTTGCTTGGGTTGGGATGGTCAAGAATATTTATCAGCGGTCACACTAATCATTGACACAGCTTGACCTCTTGATACCCAACCCAACACCTCAGCTTGTGATGTGCTAGAATCATTGTATCGGGGAGCTATGACTCTCTCTCTCACTCACCTTCTACCCTCCTCCTCTCCTGATGGTAAACATAGGAGTCTTCTTCTCCTCTCTGACCCTAATTGAGTAAGAGTCCTTGAGGCTATTACTGTAAGGAGTGACTCATTTGTCTGGGCGTTTATTTTTGACAGGGAAGCTTGGTTGATGCTCCCACGAAGATGGTATCGAGTGTGATCAGAGACGATACACTAAGCTACCAGGTGTTGCGTTCTGTTGTGGCACCGTCGTCTCTCTTGTTGTGATGTGGATATAAACTTTTTTTGTTTTGTTTGTGATTGGGTAACATTTGTCGTTTGTTTTGTTTTTAAAGTTGGATACTGTAAAGGCCTGGGACTTAGGAATAGAAATCCCTTACCAGGCTAATCAGGATCTTAATAAAGGAAAGTCAAGGACCATGGTTTTCCGAGGAATAACAAACAATTACGGGAGTCAAACAATTAATGCAGTCAACAGTTAATGCACTCAACAGTTAATGGAGTCAACAGTTAATGGAGTCAAACAATTAATGGAAACAAACAATTAATGGGAGTCAGCAATTAATGGAATCAAACAACAAAAGAATCAAACAATGAACAGATGTTTCCTACGGCAGCGGCCCTGGGGAAGGTTCTGGAACGCAGTGATCCACTCTCAGGGGGAAGGTCCTCACTCGAGCGACAGCAGCCGATGTCTTGATATGGCAGGAGAACACCGGGGCACAGACGGAGGAGATGAACTGACGGTCGTGGTATGGGGCTACAGAGGATTGACAGTCGATAGGTGAAGGTCTGGGGACGCAGCCCACGAGTCCCGAGCCTTGGATGAGATGACAGCCAGAATTTGACGAACAGCGGGGGAGGTAGCGACTGTACTGACGGCTGAGTAGGATCTGACCCGGTGACACAGCTAGTAGCCACGATCACAACCTAACCAAACCAAACCTAACCAAATCTAACCTAACCTGATCTAACCAAAGCTGACCGTTCTAGCGTACCGTAATCTGCCGTAATCTGTTGCAGCCACTCCATACGTGCAGTTGATCGTCACTGCTGAGGGCGGGGCGACAGATCCTCTCCCTGGTGTCAGGTGTCAGGTAGTGCTTAAAGCCCAGTAGCGTCGACTTGTCCAACTCAACCACTTAAACTGCTTAAAAATTACCGCCGTTGGATGCTGAGTGACGTTAACTACACTACAAACTTTACCTGACTCTCACTCTCTCTCTCTCCCTCCCTCACGCTGTTCTCTCTCTCTCTCTCTCTCTCTCTCTCTCTCTCGGTTTCTCTCTAATTTAACCTAACCTAACCTAATTTAAACTAACATAGCCAACTTTAACCTAACCTAACCTAACCTAACCTAACCTAATTTAAACTAACAGCCAACTTTAGCCTAGCCTAACCTAACCTAATCTAAATACCTTTGTCGCTCCACTGTTAGTATACCCCTGTTATAAAGGCTTCACACACACACACAAAACAGGTTAATTGCTACCTTTATACAGTAATTAGCTTTTGTCAATCACCTGATGGTAACAACATTCCCGGGTCGTCAGCCACAGATAACAACAACAGGTAATATATATTTGTTTTGGAAAAGTTACTATTACCGACCGGCTGTTGAACCTTGATTTATGGAACAGAATTTACACACTTTACACAATTGAGTAAATTTACATATTTACACAATTGAGAGAATTTACACACTTACACAATGTTTTATTTTCACGTAGGAAGTTTAGATTATTATTCTTTCTCTGCCTCTTTCGTCTTGGTACTTCAATATTTTTTTCAAATTTCTACGTAATTTTCTGAAGATTTGGATGAGAAGGGAAGTTAAATTTTGGATCAATTTACATAACTCAAGTTTTGTCTCTAAGAGGAGATTACCTTGTATACTGCCTGACGTAGATACCATATACCTGTCTCATTGTCGTGTAGTGATGATGAGGAGGAATATGAGGAAGAAGAAGAAGAAGAATAGGAGGAGGAATATGAGGAAGAAGAAGAGGAAGATTATTTTGGGTATTATTGGATAAACTCCCATAAAGACTTCAGTACGAGGAAAGATATTCTATAATAAGATTAGTAAAAATAATCCTTCGACCATTGTGTCATAAAGGTAGTTTTTGGAGTGAGTTACCAACCTGTCCGATACATCAATGCGTCTCAAGTAGATACCACGGTGGCTATGGGGGGTCTAGATACTTATTTTCATAACTACCTGTAATTTTACCTGTACCTGTGTGGGGCTGGGGTGGGGTGGGGGGTACAGGCACCATGATACCCATACAGGTAAATGACGGTTCTTAGGGTATAATGGCTCTCTGGAATGAGCCATTAAAGTGCCCAAATGCCCGGATCGTTTTAATGGCTTGTCCTGATGGGCGCCACTCAGATGACTAACTCCCGTTGTTAAAAGAATGAATGAAAATAACACAAATTGCTGATAGTGGGAATGCCTTGTAACGAATTGTGTGTGTGTGTGGTGTTCGCTACTGATGGTGATGACACTATAACCCAAGACTAATAGTGTTACCATCACCTCACCATCCTCACAGCTACAGCAACAGGACTACACACTATCAACCGCTGGTCTTATATAGTTCAAAAAAGTTCATTAAAGTTAACTACGTGTTGTTTTAACTCCTATGAATATTTTGAACTGTAAGACCATAGAGCTAGTTACTCTGTGTTCTCATATAGTTTAGGTAAATTGAAAAAAATAAAGGTGATATATATTTTTCACTGTTTTTGTCAATGTGTTTATTTATGCAATTATTTCATTTGTTTTGTTTATATAAAGTAATGTCGTTGTTTTCATCAATTGAGTGTCCGTGTCGCTGACTAAAATGATTCTGTTGTATTTGGGTTCTGTTTGATGCAACAATTTGGGAGGCTTTTTACAAATTGAGGGGTGTTGTTGTTGTTGTTGTTGTTGTTGTTGTTGTTGTTGTTGTTGTTGTGGTGGTGGTTTTGTTCTTGTTGTGATGTTGTTGCTGTTGTTTTTCTTCTTGTTGTTATTGTTGTTTTTGTTGGTGTGTTGTTGTTGTTGTTTTTATTATTGTTTTTGTTGTTGTTGTTATTGTTGTTGTTGTTATTTTTATTATTGTTTTTGTTGTTGTTATTGTTGTTATTGTTATTTTTATTATTGTTTTTGTTGTTGTTTTCATGATGTTGTTGTTGTTGTTGTTGTTGTTGTTGTAGTCCTGTGCTTCAACAACATCAAGTGACTCAACAACACTCACAAAAGGTAGATGGCGTTGGCTAAATAAATGTCTACTTTATTTACTAACATATTCCTATAGTTTCTCAAATAACTACATAATTTAACTAACTATTTAATTTAGAAACACTATTTGTCAGTGTAATCATATATTTTGGTTTAATGTGTATTTCCGGGTCATAATATGTATCCTAACCACTTTGTTTCCGTGTTACAGTGCGGGGTACACGCCCACCGCCGCCTACTGGGTGGGCGGCTCCGACACCCAACACGAGAACTCCTTCAGCTGGACCTCAGGGGCGCCCTTCTCCTACTCCGGTAAGTCCTACACTCTATCTGACACGAAGGGGTGAGTGTAGTAACCCTGGGTCAAACTCATAACTGGGTCAGACTCATAACTGGGTCAGACGCATAACTGGGTCAGACTCATAACTGGGTCAGACTCATAACTGGGTCAGACTCACACTAGTTCTTACCTTACCTGATGACGCAACTGGTTGTGGAAATTACGACTTGAAAATTAAATCCCTGTAAAAATAGCGTCAACGTGAGCTATATACCGTTAGTTCCATATATACCTCGTTATATACCGTTAGTACCATATATACCTCGTTATAGTTACATAAGGGTGTTGTGTAAATACCTTTCATATATTAGACGGTGTATTCCTGAGACATAACTAAAGATAAATGACTAAATTGTTAAATAGTTTCAGAGTTAAAACACATGACAGTTTTGGTGGGAATGTTATGAAACCTATATGAAACATCGACTGTTGCTAGTGAGCGTTGCACACGTTCAAAGACCTCGGGGGGTGTTGAGAATGTTTGTCACTCTGTCCTGTACTCGGCGCCACAATTCCTCACGGCTTGGGACCTCTGTAACATACACCTTGATTTTTATGTCACCCCTACAGGTAGAAATCAGGGAGATTTATGTCAGGTGATAGAAGTAGCCATGAAACAGACCCGCCTCAACCATATCCACACCCTTTGATTTATGAAAGGTGTTTACGGATCACCCTGTATACTACGTTAGAGCTATTTATATATGTGTTATTGTTTCCACTCTTGACCCCCCAAGTGTCTCAGGGTGCAGTAGTGAGTTAGGGTATGAACAGCGTCATTACGTTTTATTAAAGGGAATAATTTTCAGCCGCGTGTTGTAGCAATATTGAAAATGTAGTGCAGGCGGGGACGTATGTTGGGGGGGGGTAGTGTTTATGTTGGGGGTGTTATGGGTGTTTATATTGGAAGTGGGTGTATGTGTGTGTGAAGGGGTGTAGGTGAGTGTATGTGTGTGTACGTGTGGGTGTCCTCCACTTCCTCATCCCTACAGCCTCTTCATCCTTCCCCCACCTCACTCCACCACCTCCACCCATTCTCCACCGTCATCCTCAAGACCCTAACCAAACCCTAACCAAACCCTAACCAAACCCTAACCAAACCCTAACCAAACCTAACCACATTAAGAGGCTGTATCTCGCACCAGGTCAAGTCTTCTCAGGTGGCCGTGCCGTTCAGGTTCTTCCGGCAGAGTGATGATACAATGACCTGCCTGAGGGTGTTTTGTCGTCGAGATGTGGTGGTGATGATGATGCTGGTGTGTGTGTGTGAGTGTGTGTGTGTGCGTGTGCGTGTGTGTGTGTTTTATAGGAGTTATGAGGTGTGTGTGTGTGTATTTTTAGGTCTCTCTCTCTCTCTCTCTCTCCCACGTGCCGTTTTTAGCCCTCCTAAGTAGGCACTAAAGAGAGGGTCATCTGCCATGTACCTGAGTGGCTCCTGTGTGCCTCTCTACCCACCTGACGATGTAAGACCTTCCCCTCTCCTCCTAGCTGTGTTCCCTTCTCCTCCTTCTCCTTTTGTACCTTCCTTCCTCTTCTCCTCTTGTCCCTCTTCCCTCTCCTCCTCACTCTTCTCCTCTTCTTCTTCTGCTCTCTTACGCCTCCACCCCTATCCGTCTCCCTCGTTCACTCACTCTCTCACTCTCTCACTCCCTACCTCACCCTCTCCCTCCCTCACCCTCTCCCCTCCCCCTCGTGCAAGAAATCCAGAAAATATGTGAGTAAGGGGAGAGGAGGAGGAGGGGTGGGTTGAGACAAGGTTCTCTCGAGGTGCAGAGACATGTTCATTTTTAGTCGTAGATAAAACTCCCACTTGCCGCAGGAAGAAGTCTCAAAGGCCACACACACACACACACACACACACAGCGCCCCTGGACACACAAGAGGTCCCATTTGGTAAAGAGAAAAAAAAAGTTCCTTCTGGGCATAAAAAAATCCCACTGGGCACAGGAAGTTGAGATAAGGGGTCCTGAGATGTGAAGGATTTCTTGTACCGCCCCCAGTGTGTTTACAGGTTCTCGTCATATAGCCTAGGTACAGTCCCCTTCACTGGTGCGTTTACAGGGGCTTGTCATATAGCCTAGGTACAGTCCTCTTCACTAGTGTGTTTACAGGGGCTCGTCATATAGCCTAGGTACAGTCCCCTTCACTAGTGCTTTTACAGGGGCTCGTCATATAGCCTAGGTACAGTCCCCTTCACTAGTGTGTTTACAGGGGCTCGTCATATAGTGCCTTCACTGGTTTACAGGGATCAGCCTGGTCCTTCACTACTCTCACCATAAGCACGTCCCCTTCACTAGTGTGTTTACAGGGGCTCGTCATATAGCCTAGGTACAGTCCCCTTCACTAGTGTGTTTACAGGGGCTCGTCATATAGCCTAGGTACAGTCCCCTTCACTAGTGCTCGTTTAGCCAGGGGCTCGTCATATAGCTCAGGCATGAACTCTCACTAGTGCGTTTACAGGACTTCCGTCATATAGCCCAGGGCACAGCCTCTTCATCAGTGCGCGTTTACAGATCTCGTCATGTGCTTCCAGGTACAGTCCCTTCACTAGCAGGGTTTACAGGATCTCGTTATATAACCTCGGTACAGTTCCCTTCACTAGTGCGTTTACAGGGCTCGTCATATAGCCTAGGTACAGTTCCCTTCACTAGTGCATTTACAGGGGCTCGTCATATAGCCTAGGTACAGTCCCCACCACTAGTGTGTTTACAGGGGCTCGTCATATAGCCTAGGTACAGTCCCCTTCACTAGTGCGTTTACAGAGGCTTGTCATAGAGCCTAGGTAGTGAAGGTTAGGTTAGGTTCCCCTACTGAGATAACACCACGTCACTTACGGGTAACTATGCTAGTGTGACATACTCCCATCTACCCTGGGTAACTTGTGTGGTGAGTTTTTGTCCAGCATGGTGAGATTTTGTTCAGTTTGGGGAGTTTTTGTCTGAAGTGTGGGGAGTTTTTGTCCAGTGTGGGGAGTTTTTGTCCAGTGTGGGGAGTTTTTGTTCAGTGTGGGGAGTTTTTGTCCAGTGTGGGGAGTTTTTGTTCAGTGTGGGGAGTTTTTGTTCAGTGTGGGGAGTTTTTGTCAGTGTGGGGAGTTTTGTTCAGTAATAGGGAGTTTTTGTTCAGTTTGGGGAGTTTTTGTTCAGTGTGGGGAGTTTTTGTCCAGTGTGGGGAGTTTTTGTTCAGTGTGGGGAGTTTTTGTCCAGTGTGGGGAGTTTTTGTCCAGTGTGGGGAGTTTTTGTTCAGTGTGGGGAGTTTTTGTTCAGTTTGGGGAGTTTTTGTTCAGTGTGGGGAGTTTTTGTTCAGTGTGGGGAGTTTTTGTCCGACGTGGTTAGTTTTTGTCCGTGCGTCACCTTCCGTCACCTTTATCAAGACAAGCAGTCACGTTGAAAGAAGCTAATTGGCTAGTTTTCCAGTCTCCCGCGTCTCCTGATTGGACGACGGACAGCAGGAGACCCTGACATAAGTAGGGGTTATACAAATGCCTATGTTGTTATAACCGGGGAAAATGGTGCATATATACTGTAGTGAAACCTCGATATAACGTACTTCTCTCGTCGTGTAATCCGTTATATAAGGGGCTCGCTTGTAATGGAACCTCGATATAACGGACTTTCCTCTATATAATGTGTGTGTGTGTGTGTGTGTGTGTGTGTGTGTGTGTGTGTGTGTGTGTGTGTTCACTGGCCGCCTTGGTAGGTGTTATCAGTAATGTGTGAGCGTCGTGGTGGTGGTAGGGCGATGCTCTGGAGATGTAGACAGGGAGGGAGACGAACGTGTGGGCGGTGGGTGGTGATATGGGCGGTGTGGGTGGTGGGAGGTGGGCCAGCGATAACGACGCCTGCAGGAAATTTGGGACACTACTGAAACAGCTGGAGAGATTACATGAATTTGGGTTACCAGCAGAGGTAGTGGCTGGGGTAGTGGCAGAGGTAGTGGCTGGGGTAGTGGCAGAGGTAGTGGCTGGGGTAGTGGCTGGAGATGTAAACAGACACACCAGATACCAGATGAACAACGATGTTATTGAGAAATCCGACTGTGAGAAAGATTTAGGAGTAATGATAAGTAGGAATCTTAAGCCAAGTAAACAATGTGTATTTGCTCGTAACAAGGCTAATAAAGTACTTGGGTTCATACAAAGGAGTGTTAGTTACAAGACTAGAGAACTCATCCTAAAACTATATCTTGCGCTTGTGAGACCTCACCTGGATTACACAGTTCAGTTCTTGTCACCTTATTACAGAATGGATATAGAATCATTGGAAAGAATCCAGAGGAGAATGAAAAGACTAATCCCGGGCATTAGGAACCTTGAGTACAGAGACAGGTTAAAGCATCAAAATTTACACTCCCTCGAGAGACGTAGAGTGAGGGGCGGTATGATAGAGGTGTATAAATGGAAGTCAGGGCTAAACAAAGGTGATATAACAAAGGTACTCAAACTATCCAAACAGGAGCGAACTGGTAACAATGGTTTTAAATTAGACAAATTTAGATTTAGGCGCGAAATAGGTAAACACTGGTTTGGTAACAGAGTAGTGGATGAATGGAACAAGTGACCAAACATCATCATTAACTGGAATACGCTGGATAGCTTCGAACATAGGTTGGATGGATATATGAGCGATAGGGGTTGGGTGTAAACGGGACTCCATTCCTATGTTCGCAGGTGCAGGTAATGGGGTAAAAGTAGGGACGTAAAAATATAATTTCTAGCGTAAGAACAAAACAATAAAATACAAAAATATATATCCTAGAAATAATATTTTTTAAAAGGTAAAGAAAACATACTTTATATTATATAAAAAATGTGTAAAATCTTATTGTAATTAACCTGGAGGAGGGGAGGGTGTGCTTGGTGGGTGGAGAACCATGGTGAGGAGGAGGGGCAGTCCTTCCTTCACCTCCGGGGTACACGAGCACAGTCCCACCTCTCTCTCTCTCTCTCTCTCTCTCTCTCTCTCTCTCTCTCATG